CAGGCAGGCAGGCAGGCGGCTGAAAAAAACCCCCTCTGGGGTCTTTGGGGCCTTCCTGGTCTGTTGTCGCGCAGGTCGGGGGCTCCCGCGCACGCCGCCAGGTGATCGCAGACAGCAAGATTTGTTAATTTAACAATTAGTGAATTTCTCTACTTCAGTGGGTTCAGGCACTTGGAATGCAGTAGGGTCCAGACAGAAACCCCCATGCTTGGGGAATTCGTACTGGAGTAGGGGACAGATGAATAAGGTAAAGAGCTAAAAATTCGTACCTCTAAGTCTGTTTTTAGGAGTGATAAATGCTCAGTGTTAAAAACAAAATGGAATGAGGAGGGAGTAGTAGTTTAAGGAGGTAGTGACATTTTAGACAGGGCACCAAAGAAGGTGTTCTTGAGATGTCATTGAAGAACAGTAAAGACCTGAAGCATGTGAAGAACCAAGCCATGCAGTCATCTGTGGATAGAGCACACATCAGCCAGTGCAAAGGCCCTGAGGCAGGGAGGTTGAGTTATGATTAAACAAGGCGAGCAGTATGGCAGATGAGAGACAGTGGACAGGGGTAGGAGCTGGGAACAGACAAGTGAAAGGGCTGGGGACTCTGGTTCTGAGATGGATGCTGACCCAGGAAAGACACGTGTGGTTAATGTAGGAGTAGGACTCCAGCTGGGGGAGCCACAGCCCTTTTTCTGCTAGGAACCGCTTTGGCAATCTGGGGGCTGATTTTTAAGTGCAAAAAACCTAAAGCCACAGGGTATAAAGGAGTTAGATTGCACAGGATGCAGTTACACAGCAGCAAGGCCAGTTTCTGACTTGGCAGTGTGTGTGCCTCATTATTAATTCACTCGATAAGACCCAGCGGTAGGTTCGTGCGTGAGGGCTACTATATCCTCCGTGCTCTGCAGAGATCCTGGTGGACGTGGGTTCCGGGAGCCAGCTGGTGCAGTTGAGGGCTCTGGGCAATGCCTGTGTCTTTGTAGAAGCTTCTGCTCAGCTTCCTTAGAAATAAAGGCTGCCTTCCTGCTTCAGTGCTGGGCCTGCCTGGCTCTCTGGAGACCACTGGTCTGCTGGGCGCATCAGGTGCAGAGTGAGTTAAATGGGTCCAAAAGGGTAGGGGTGACATGCAGATCCCTGCATTCCCTGTGGCTTCCAGTGCCTCAAGACAGCCTTCTCCGTTTCCCTGACTGGGTCCTTGTGGCTGAAGATTTCTGGGGGTCTGGCATGTGGCCCTGCTGGGCGGGCAGACTGTCTGGCCTCAGACTGCCTGGTGCCCTCCTCCTGGGAGCCCCGTCCCACCCCGGATGTGGGCCGCGCCAGCCAGGTTCTGTACCCCTGCAGAGGGCGTCTGGGTGTCGTTTCCTCCAGCCAGGCTCAGCCGTCCTGCCCTCTGCACACACCACGGGCTGTGCGCCTCTCCCTGTGCCCCTCTGGGCACACAGGCCTCTCACCCTCGCTGTCCTCTGTCCCTGTCCACTGTCCTCACGGTCCGGGCCTGCTGTGCTTGTGTTGCAGCTGTTCCAGGCCCTGAGCTCCGTGGGCGAGATCCGTCCTCGCTTGGTCTCTGCCTTCCCGGGGTGGCGCCTGCTGCGGAGTAGCCCCGTGCAGATGAGAGAAGCACATGAGCCCCACGCACGACGCAGCCGTGTGCTGCCTGAGGGTCCGGTCTTGTCCAGATCTGTAAGTTCGCTTCCTGTCTGTTTGCTCCCCTTTTCTGTCTGCTTGTGTACTTCTAAGCTGCTTATAACATTTTGTTTTCTTAAATTAAAAACCTGAATCTATAATACCTGTGCAACTGAAGAAATCCACACAATGTTGAGAGGTGCAGGTAGAAAGCAAAAGTCACCAAAGTCTGTCATTCAGAGAGAATGCATAACATTATGGTGTGTATTTCATATAATTTTTTCATCAGATATATTTTGCAAAGATAGGATCATCCTGTCTATTGCATTATAATTATTTGCATTTTTATCAGCATATTTTTGCTTTTTTCATGGATCCAGGAACGTGTTATTGTATCAAGGATGGCTTTAGAGCGTGGCTGGGTTTGACTCTCGGGGCCGTCACTCAGTAGCTGTCTGCTCAGGAGAGTCTGTGAGCTTCACTATTTTCCAGCGTCCCCATCTGTGAGGGGGGCGCAGTAAAAACACTAGCGGTAGGGGAGTGGTGGGATGCTTGGGTTCAGAGGGGCAGCACTTAGAGCAGGGGCTGTGAGCCCCTGGGAGCGACTACCATGGAGATCTGAACATGTGTAGGGCTGGGAGACCCCATGGCTGGTCGCCCCAGCGCCCTGTGCCACTCTCCTGTTGGTGGACGTGAAGGTCACCTGGCCTCTGCACGTACCGGGGTTACTGTTGCAGTGAGTGTCCTTGTGCTTGCATATTTGAATACTTGTCTGATTTGTTTCCTCGGGATACATTTGGAAACGCTGGGATTTCTGGATTCACCTCCTGCAGTGTCCTTCGGGAAGCTTTCAAGTTCATGCCACCGTTAAATCTTATGACGCACTTTTCCTTGCACGGATGTTGGCCTCCCGTTCCTTGTTGATTTTCGCATCAGTGCTGTGTGTGACGTGGAGCCCCCGGCGGGTCTCTGGCCTTGAGGATTGCCTGCCATTCCTTCCTGCCTCAGAGGGTTGGCCCAGCAGGGGCCAGTGGCTGGGCTGCTTCCCTTCCTGGTGGGACCCGTCTCCCCAGGAAGGCCCCTGGCCAGGCTGCCTGCTGCCCCGGGGGTGTGTGGAAGAAGACTGGAGGAGAGGAAAGTAGAGATTTGGTGACGGTGCAGCCAGCCTTGGGACTCTGGGAGCTGTGCTGCACTTACTCGTTACGAATAGTCCAGAGGGTGGCTTTTATAGTAACTTCAGGTAGCATTTAGAGATATTGCTTAAGAGAGCACTTACTGGTTTGCTGATTGAACACAGAACTTCTATACATTTTATTTATTTATTTATTATTTATTTGGTACCGGGGATTGAACTTGGATCCTTGTGCTTGCAAAGCAGGCGGTGGAACCACTGAGCTAAATCCCTGGCCCCTTATAAATTTATTTCTAATGCTTGAATATATTAGGCCTTGAGAAGTTTTCGTTCTCTTCTTGTGACAGATCACATTTTAAAAAAATCATGTTAACGCAGGATTTCTCATATTTGCCTTAGGTACTTGAAATTTGATGATTTGGAAGAAGTACATAATCCAGGGAGATTCTTAGTAATTCACTGTTTGAATCACCTGGAAGATATATTATTCCGATTGCTTTTGGACTATAGGATTTAAATATCAGCATAATTTTCCTAGCACAGTGAACCCAATTATGGCAGCCTGATTGTGATATTTTAATATTTGAGAAAAATATTGGATGATAATTGTCATCAGTGAAGCAAGAGAGAAGGAGGGTGGAATTTCACCTTCCATCTTTCCTGTCATTTCACTCCTCTCTGTTTATTTGATGAGTCGTGGCAAGACTGGAAAGCTGACTTGTATTTGCCTTTTTCTGGGACATCAGTGAGTTTCCACAGGGCTGGCACTCAGGCTGGCAGGTGTGTGAAGCTGTATCAAAGCAAGCACAGATTATCGTTGCAGGGCTGACGATGCTAGAGGATCCCACAGACTCTAGAGGAGATCACTAGCCTTCTTGCTCAGATCAGGAAGCCCGCTTTGGCTTTCAACAGAAGGTTGCACTTGCCTTGTCTTTCCTCCTTTTTGAAGTTCTGATTGTTGTCTGACACCGTGGCATGAGACGCCAGGACTGAATTCCGAAGGACAAGTGCTGCCGAGAGATTCAGCAGGGTCCCGGCTGACTGGCTCCAGGTCATGTCTGAGGTTCAAGGTCTGCTGTTCCACACTCTGACCTCCCACCGGCCTCCCAGCTCCCACAAGAGCTGAAGTCCCTTAGCATTGGCTCTCAACTGAGGACGGTTTTGCTCCCTGAGGGACATCAGGCAGTGTCTGGAGACCCTGCTCAGCACCCTGCGTGCCCAGGTCTGTCTGCAGAAGGAGCAGTCCTGGCACCACAATGTCCAGAGTGAGGAGGATGAACCCCTCCTGCAGAAGTTTGCCAGTTGGGGTGTCACCGGGGTGGCTGGCTGGGCCCGGAGGGTTCTGAGAGGTGTCATTTCCCTGGCAACCTTGTAGACTTGCAGTGTCAGAAACTACCTCTTAGGCATCCTGGAACTGAACAAACCCTAGGACGGTGATGGTGAACCTTTTAGAGCCTCAATGCCTAGACTGCAGCCAAAACCCACTTATTTACCACGGAGTGCGAACAGAGCGATTAAACCTGAATACTGAGGTTTTAGTTTAGAAAAAGAACACACATTAACATCGTTTGTCTTAAACAGAAACACCTGTGCGGTTGGTTTCACATCCCTGCTCCAGCAAGTTGACTGGCATCGGAACCCACAGAACACTGTTCCCAAATTTTTCCCTCCTCACTAAGTCGCATGCCAGATAGGACTGGTGGACACACAGGTGCTTGTGTTGACCCCATGACGCGATCGCTTGCTGTTCACAGAGTGAGCGGGGCCTCAGGTCACTTAGAGCTGCCCCCCCGGAGCCTGGGGTCAGATTAAAGGAGGTTTTTTTTGTTTGTTTTTGTTTTTTAAATTAAAGATACATGAAACTCAAGGTTTGACCATGGGCTCCACTCTTGAGATAGACCGCCATCGAGACAGGACGTGCTGAACCTCCGGGACAAGACTGTCCTTGTTCAAGTGCTAGATGGGTCCTGGGAGCTGACTGCCCTCGTGTTCCTCCCGGTCACTGCCTCTTATGACCCGCACTCATTCTGCTCATCGGTTTGCTCTTCGTAGTCTTGTTGGCATGGAGGAGAGGAACTGGTTCAGAAAGATGTGTCAGGCACTGCTGCATGACAGGGATGATTAATGTGGAGGTTGCTGCCAGGGTGCTGTCCCTCTCTGGGGTGTCTGAGCTTCGTGGGTGGGACTGCCGTGACAGCGTTTCAGTGGGATGGGCAGGACAGCCACCAGGACAGACGTACAGGATTCTGTGCAGTGCGGGGACACAGGCCATTTCCCGCAGAGTGTCTGCTGCGCTCTGTCAGGTGCAGATTTCACACGTGGGAGGATGACCTTACTTCTGAGAGGAGGATGCGAGAAGTCGCTGTCACTGCTGTGGACTGGCTCCTGCCTGGGTGCTGTTCCGAGACTGGCATCAGGTCCCCGTGACGAATGAGTCCAATATACAGCACCATGCACTCTCCTCTCTCCCTCTCCGTAAGGGAAGCGGTCATTCTGCTCATTTCCTTGCGGTGTTGTCAAACCCCAGGAAATACGGCCAGGCTGCAGGGAGTGCGCAGGGGACGTGAAGAGGGATTCTGCAGAGGGCGGCAGTCCTGGCTGAGCCTGACGTGCATTGCCAGGGTCCTGCTGAGTCACTCCGCAGAGTCACGACCGTCAAGGGCTGTCATAAGCAGTGCTCCTTGCTTTGGATCATGTCAGCACTGCCCAGGCTGGAAAGATCACAGAGAAACAGCAGCAGAGGGTGGGTGTGGAGCAGGGAGTGGAGGTGTCGGATGTGCACATTTTTCTTCCCCCAAACCTGCGGGTCGGGGTATGCTCTGCGCCACCCCCGCCCCTCCCAGCCATTCCCTGGCTCTAACAGGAAGAGGGATCCTGATTTCCACACTGACGGGATGCAGACGGCAGAAGGCCCGAGGCCTGGCCCTGGCACTCTGTAGTGGTGAGGCATGGTTGTGGGGTAGCTTCTCTGAGGCTTAACGTCCACTCACAGAATGGGAACAGTCACATTTGCACCGGCAGACTGAGGCCAGAGGAGATGGGTGTGAAACTAAGAGGGAGCTTGGCGTGTTGGAGACTCAGAAAATGCTAGTTACCAACTCTGTTGAGAAGTCACGCAGGGTGTGGGTACCCGAGAGGGCTGTGCATGACTCAAAGTCGAAATGAGAAGTAGTGGTTACATCTTTTCTGAAAATCCAGTTTAAATTAAAAAAAAAAAAAAA